CACGTTCATACTTGCGTTCAAACCCCGCCCCAGACACGACCCGTTGATACGATATTTTACGAAAGCTCCGTACTGCAAACGATTTGACGACTGCATACTGCAAACCATCCAATTGCCCTACACACGCTACGATTTATCGTTAATGCGGCAGTTTCGATGTATATCGTACTGCATGCAGTACGATAAATCGTTACGTGTGTAGGCCGTTTAAGACCAATCCGTCCACATTTAAATTCTCTATACTAACGCGAAATTGTCGACTGATGTGTTCATTGCCAAAAGCAAAAGCCAACTCGGTAAGGCATTTTTGTTGAGACAATTGTATTCGAAAATTGTAAAAAAAATATTGCGCGAACATTTTTCCAGCTTTATTCCATTTTTCGACTTCAAAGCTTCATTCAGAACCTCAATTAGGGGAATAAATTAGAGGTTTCAATTAGCGTAGAAGTTTGTTCCTTTAATTTCAATGCAAGCATTTAGCAAGTCTAAATTAGTGGTAGTAATTTTCAGTTTATAGAAAAAGTAAACAAACTTTTGACTTTTCCACCAATTATACTTCAGAATTTGCGGGTAATGTCATTTTGACCTTTGATTAGCATCTATCAAGAGAAATTGTGGATAGAAATCAAAAGTTGTTTTATAAGCTAAATATTTGACTTTCTCTATGGACACAACTGACTACCGCAAGCTGTTGCTAGGATATTCTATTAATTGTGTTTTTTAGACATTGTGAATGATCGTAAACTAAAAAGTATAAAGTGTAATTGAAACCACTTATTGCGAGATTCTGAATGAAGCTTAACTCGTCAACTTCAAAAATTCAGTTTAGATACAACTTTAAAAAAAGCGTTCCAAGACTTTGGCGTTAAGTTAACTAAATATGACAGTTAATTTTGACATTTGATATATTTTGACAGACGCCTACTATGTTTCTATATGTAAAACGTAAAAGACAGCCCTCGTACAGAATGATCGAAAAAATGTTTATACGGGGGCTACAAAATATTTTGTTTTTAATAGGGGTAGAATTCAGCCATGTTCTACTCACTTCTCAGTCTTAAGGAAATTATATTTTGTTAATATTTATGTAGTAAATATAGTAGGTATATCATTAAATATATGAATGGTCAGTGATAAAAAAAATCTAGTGTTTGTTCAACTAGTTGGCTCTCAATTGAGTTTAACTGAAAACTATTCAATAAACATTCCTTCTTCAATATAACAATTTTAGTAAAAGGATCAAAATACTTTTACTATTAGAATTATTTTAAATTTATATATATTTTAATAAAAAAACTGTTTTAAGACCAGTTATAACTAAAACAATTGAGTCTAGATCCGTATTGTCTGCAAAATAACTGTATAACTATTAAAATTAGTACTTAAACAGAATTAAAGCAGTTTTAAGAATAAAAATAAGTGTAGTGACAGCCATTGTTACACTTAAATCACATAAATATTAAGTAAAATAGTCTAGATATGTTGTAAGGGAGATAATATCTGTAAAACAATCCTCCTAAATCGATGTTTTTGTAAATTAATTAAAAATGTATGTAAGAAATAAACTAAATGCTTTTGACACTGGACAAATACGTATATTTAAATGTAAAAAATGATTTTCATATCCTGCAAATTAACCTTTTATATATTTTTAATATTGTTTGTATTTTTCTTGATGTTAAAGCATACCTTAATATTAACATTAACATATCTTCCGTAACACTTTGTATATATAAAATATCAGCCATATTTTATATATCGGTTAAAGTTAGCCGACATAGATATTAAATTCACTTCATTTACTTATGTTGATTATTGTTTCTTCATAATTTTATTACAAGCGTATTATAAAACTTATAGCAAAAAATCTACACAAATACAGGGTGATCCAGCAATAGTGCCTCGGACATTGGTAGCTCAAAGGGCCTAAAACTTAGAATTTAAATGCAAACTTAAAACGTGCTTTAGGATGTATTTCAAGAAAATATTTTAACTTCTACAGGGTGGCTCAAAAAAGTGTGAGTGGATCGGGATGATTTTTTTAAATGGAACACCCTGTATATTATTGCATTTGTGGCTTCCATTCACGATCACTTTACCTATCTTAAGATATTATTATATAGGTTTTGATAGTTTCAAAGGTAATAATAAGTAAATAAAAATATTTTTTAGACTTTTTCAAAAAAAATATTAAAAATCCAAGAAATGTCCTGAAATCAAAACTATACTAGGTATTTACTATAGTTAGTCTGTATTTACTTTGCTATAAATATAGTAATCTTAAATTATACAGGGTGTTAAAAATTCTATGCCAAACTTTCAAAAATATAAAATAGTTTTTCTTCGTTTTTTAATGATACACCCTGTTTATTTATTTTAAAATATTTTAAAATTTTTAGCGGTTTCCCAAATATTCGCGTTTTTATTACATATGGCTCTTTACACAGTAAAATACCAGACAAAAATCATTACTAGACAGCTTTCATAAAAAATTACTGTTGAAAAACCCATATGGTAGTATAATATTGCGAATATACGCAAAACCGTTAAATTTGAAAAATTTTAAATACAAGAAACGTTAATTTTTTAATTCTCCATCTAACAAAGGTTACAGGGTGTTTCTATTCTAAAAAAACGAAGACAAACTATTTTATATTTTAGAAAGTTTGGCGTAGAATTTTGAACACCCTGTATGATTTAAGATTACTATATTTATAGGAAAGTAAGTACAGACCAATTATAGTAAATACCTAGTATTGTCTTGATTTCAGGACATTCTTTGTATTTTTAATAATTATTTTCAAAAAGACTGAAAAAACTATTTTTTTTATTTACTTATATATTTTCTCTTAAACTATCAAAACATATTTAATAATATTTTAGGATTATGGAAAGTGATCAGACAGGAAGCCAAAAATACAATAATATACAGGGTGTTCTATTTAAAGAAAATTATCCCGATCCACTCACACTTTTGTGAACCACCCTGTAAAACGTAAAATACTTTCCTGAAATACATCCTAATACTGTGCTAATACATACTTTAGGTCTGCACTTATACAAAATTCCTAAATTTTTTATTATAGGAGCTACAAATGCCCGACGCACTATTGCCGGATCCTGTATATCCATTCTACAATGTATCTTATCTTACTTAAGTTACTGTCATCTTTTAGTGATTTTTAATAATTCTAACTCTTTTACAGCCACAAAGAGTTGGATTATACCGTTGTTCCTGAAACTATTATAAATATATTTATTTTTCTGTAAAAAAATCGTACTTTTATTTATCCTACTATAACCAGAGGGCTAATGTGCGGATTGTTTTTTTCGAAAATAAACACTAGACCCGTGTGAAATTGAAATGTAAACATGTGTGGATGGTCGTGAGGCTGAGTAGGATATTATTAAGGGTCTAAACCCTAAGAAAATAAATATAACAAGGGTTTCAGTTTCCGAGACACTTTGTTGATGGTATAATTTTAAGGATTTCTTGAGGTATCAATCCAACCAAACCTAATGAAATCATCATATCGTATCTTCTTTTTATCTTTTGAATATACCGTATGATCGAATAAAAACGGGGTCAGCGATGGCTGTGAAATGAAGATCACTGTCATTTTATATAAAAAAATGTAAAATTATATGGGAAATGTCATCAATTGTCATTTCCAAGCCAACTGGACGCCGTTTTTTTCGATCATAAGGTATCAGGTCATTATGCCATTTTTATACACTTACGAAAAACGGGCACCTTAAAATTTCCATGTATTTTAAAGTTTTATATACTGTGTTCTAGTGGACCGAATATAAATATGAGTTTTCGATGACAGTGGCATTACAAAAACAATAAACGCTATTTTATAAGGGTGTTGATGAGGACCAAATTGAAAAAATATTAAAATTGCTGGAAATCGTTTCTGTCTCATTCAAAAGAGAATATCTCCAATAAAAATAAAGTTATTGAGATAAATCAAGTAACAAACTATCGAGAAAATTATTTTTAAATTCCTTGCTTTTTGTTTTTTGTTAATATATTCCACAGGGTGTTTCAAATTTTCAATAAAATATCAAGATTTTGTTTTCCTTCGTATAATTGACGGATGGAAACTTTCATTTTTAATTTAGAAAGAGATACTAAAAAGTCAAATAATTTAGTTACAAATTGCTTAAAAAATCATCAAAATCGGCCCAATAGAACAAAATATATAAAACTTATTTGAAATACTATTGTGTATTATTGTGAAATTAAAAAATGTTTTTAAAAACTTCTTAAGATTTAAAAATTATTGTAAACAAACCTTTTAATTAGAGATAGGTAACATTATACAGGGTCGATGTCGATCAAATTAAGAAAATGGATTAGGAGGAGGGAGGGGGTAAATATAATTTTTTTCACTTTTTCCCTTATAAAAGGAAAGCACTAAGAGTAATAGTTCTCAAGTTATTTGGAATCGAAATAATTCATACGTCATCATTGACACAATTATATATAGTCTAATAACTATTTGTTGACCAGATAGTTATTAGACTGAAGTAATAAATAGGTCGTAGTGATTTTTGCCTTTTGAGAGACTTTTTGCCTAAAAAACGGCAAAATGTAGATTTTTTCATTCAGTAGTTTAATACTGGTACGGACGAAAAGTTATAACCCTTCAAAACAATAAAAATCATGTTGGTAGTGCTCCCCAAGTGCTCCCTACAAATATAAGTCATATTGACATATTGTCATATTGAAAATCAAATGTCTCATGTCAAAGAACACCCAGACACTAATTTTCATCCAAATATCGATGTTAGTTCAGAAAATATTTGGAAAAATCGAAATAAAAATTAAACTTCTACGCCCTGTATCTTTGAAACGAAGCATTTTAAGACAATCTTATACGAACTTTTTGACTTATTTTTATCTATAGAAAATGCTGCCGAAATTTTCCGAATACAATTCGGAACACCCTGTGTAATACACTAGATATGTTAACCTATTCCACTGACAAAGTCAGAAACATTTTATTTCTGACAGTTCAAAATTCTTGTGTGTAAATATACTGAAACAATTTTTCAAACATTCTAAAATGTATGATGCCAAGGAACTTCACAGTCGATTCCTAAAGGAAGTTGCGGAGTCATCGAAACTACTTCCTAGTTTGTCCTGCACTGCACTTCCAAGTTTTCTGTTTTTGTTTTCAGTGTTTTTGCTGCTCTACTTTCGATTTCATCAGTACGAGACCTATTTTGCTGCATGGTACTCTAAATTATATAAGGTATATAATATATTCAATAGTGTTAGCGGGTGAAGTTTTTTTTACTTGAAATCACTTATAAAAATAAAACAACAAAACATCTAGTATATAGAAGCCTCCCCAAACACAAAATCATAAAAATTTCACTGCGGAACTGCATCATTCTCTTTTTTCCGATTTTAAAATAACTGAAATCAGTTATACGAAAACGTGTTCCTGCTTTACATTCCAAACGCTTTTCTTGTGTAGGTATGAACTTAACCTAGTAGGTACTGTAATTTAGACATCAATACCGTACCGAGAAGAAACGAAAATAAACAAAAACAAACCAACAAACCAAATCAAAACAATCCTAACCGAAGCAATCAAAACACGCTGTAAGCTAAAACGCGTCTGTTTACGAATTCCAATTGCGGAGTAGTTTTCAAATCTTGCTATATTTTATCAATAAATGAAAATTATATATTTCCGCAAGAAGTTTTTTTGCGTGTCTATGTTTAGAAAAATTTCTGGAATGAAAAACAGAAACGTGTTTTCATGTAGGTAACTGGCTTCACCTATTCTAAAGTTGAAAATCTGAAAATTATGCATTTCCATAGACAATTTCTTGTGACATACTAATCAAAAAGGCTTCCAAATACTAAATAAACAAATATTTCTTACATAACTGATTTCAAGTAAACGTAACTTGAGCCGTGTAAGCTTTTTATTATTAGGTCCCTTTACAAACAAAAAAAACTTCAGATCAGAACATAAGTTAATTTTAATTGGTACATTTTTATGTAATCCCAGTAACTTTAAACATGATTTGATACCTAGATTTTTTTGTAAAATAACTAATCTCTTTTTAGGCTTTGTTATTCCACTGGACGTATTTTTATACTACAAGAGTATGGTTTATATTTTTGAAAATTTGCAAATGGATAATCGAAAACGGAGATCATTTATTCACAAATGTAATAATTGGAATTCTTTTAATTGGTTGATTTATTGGTATAGCGATACCAATTAAACTTTTAGTTACGTAATCGAGGGCGCGATTTTTAAATATTCATTATTGCCAACCATGGACATATTCGGCGCCGGGCTGACTAATTGGAATTTAAATTTCCCGCTGGGGATTCAGGTGGCAGTTCTGCTGTAAAAAATGTCAAGTTGCCACATTTATTTATTTATTTCCTGGCATTCGTTTTGACACTTCAGTTTTGTATTACGAGTTTTTGGTTTAAATAAATTGTGTTGTGATACTTTAAGCTTAAACATTTTTATTAGCAGACCTTGCAGTCGAATATTGTTCTTTTTAGAACCTCTTTTAGTTCGAAGTGTACAAGATAGCTTAATAGCCGTTGCAAAAAACTCATTGCAACCTTATTAGAATATTTTGAACGGGAAAGCGGTAGTAATGGCGTTTTCTGTCCCTTAAGTGCTGTTAAGGAGGTGAGTTTTGTTGATGTAAGTAATTGTTTATATATTTATAATTCATTTATTTTTGCTTCCTAAAATATTTGAGCAAGTGGGCAACGTTGTGCCGGTCAAGTTTAATCACGTGACTAAAAGTTTATTCTGGTATGATCTATATTTATATAATATATTTTATAAATATTTTAAGGAAAGTAACTCTTATACGAAAATGCACAAAAATCTAGTTACCTGTGTCATGTTCCTGATTGTCTTGGGCATATCGTTGATTCCATGTATTGTATTGACTATTAAATGTTTTGATAGGACGATAATACCCAATTTTCTGATGATGGGGTAAGTATTACATTCAATATAAAGTATTACTAAAGGTACCCGGTGGCGTAGAGGTACAGGCTCTCGTTTATCAATTTCAAAGTAGTGGGTTCGAATCCTACACCCGGCATTTCATCAGCCGACTATTTTTTATTAAAATAAAAATAGTTTGGGTATATACCTATGCCGACTCAGCCTTAAATAAGTACTTGGGATTCACAATCCTGAGTTTAGTTTAAAAATAGTGTGGATACCTAGGTCGACTCAGCCTTAAATGAGTACTTGGGATTCACAATCCTGAGTTTAGTTTAAAAATAGTGTCGACTCAGCCTTAAATGAGTACTTGGGATTCACAATCCTGAGTTTAGTTTAAAAATAGTGTGGGTACCTAGGTCGACTCAGCCTTAAATGAGTACTTGGGATTCACAATCCTGAGTTTAGTTTAAAAATAGCGTGGATACCTAGGTCGACTCAGCCTTAAATAAGTACTTGGGATTCACAATTCTGAGTTTAGTTTAAAAATAGTGTGGGTACCTACGTCGACTCAGCCTTAAATGAGTACTTGGGATTCACACTCCTGAGTTTAGTTTAAAAATAGTGTAGGTACCTAGGTCGACTCAGCCTTAAATGAGTACTTGGGATTCACAATCCTGAGTTTAGTTTAAAAATAGTGTGGGTACCTAGGTCGACTCAGCCTTAAATGAGTACTTGGGATTCACACTCCTGAGTTTAGTTTAAAAATAGTGTGGGTACCTAGGTCGACTCAGCCTTAAATGAGTACTTGGGATTCACAATCCTGAGTTTAGTTTAAAAATAGTGTGGGTACCTAGGTCGACTCAGCCTTAAATGAGTACTTGGGATTCACAATCCTGAGTTTAGTTTAAAAATAGTGTGGGTACCTAGGTCGACTCAGCCTTAAATGAGTACTTGGGATTCACAATCCTGAGTTTAGTTTAAAAATAGTGTGGGTACCTAGGTCGACTCAGCCTTAAATGAGTACTTGGGATTCACACTCCTGAGTTTAGTTTAAAAATAGTGTGGGTACCTAGGTCGACTCAGCCTTAAATGAGTACTTGGGATTCACAATCCTGAGTTTAGTTTAAAAATAGTGTGGGTACCTAGGTCGATTCAGCCTTAAATGAGTACTTGGGATTCACAATCCTGAGTTTAGTTTAAAAATAGTGTGGGTACCTAGGTCGACTCAGCCTTAAATGAGTACTTGGGATTCACACTCCTGAGTTTAGTTTAAAAATAGTGTAGGTACCTAGGTCGACTCAGCCTTAAATGAGTACTTGGGATTCACAATCCTGAGTTTAGTTTAAAAATAGTGTGGGTACCTAGGTCGACTCAGCCTTAGATGAGTACTTGGGATTCACACTCCTGAGTTTAGTTTAAAAATAGTGTGGGTACCTAGGTCGACTCAGCCTTAAATGAGTACTTGGCATTCACAATCCTGAGTTTAGTTTAAAAATAGTGTGGGTACCTAGGTCGACTCAGCCTTAAATGAGTACTTGGGATTCACAATCCTGAGTTTAGTTTAAAAATAGTGTGGGTACCTAGGTCGACTCAGCCTTAAATGAGTACTTGGGATTCACAATCCTGAGTTTAGTTTAAAAATAGTGTGGGTACCTAGGTCGACTCAGCCTTAAATGAGTACTTGGGATTCACACTCCTGAGTTTAGTTTAAAAATAGTGTGGGTACCTAGGTCGACTCAGCCTTAAATGAGTACTTGGGATTCACAATCCTGAGTTTAGTTTAAAAATAGTGTGGGTATCTAGGTCGACTCAGCCTTAAATGAGTACTTGGGATTCAGAATCCTGAGGTAATAATAGGCGGTTGAAGCGTAGTGCTAGCAACATTACCTTCCTTGTATACCGAACGGCTCTAGCATGGCAAGCTGTACCTTGCTACTCTCAAAGCGTCAAACGCTATATACGGGAGTTATTATTATTATTATTATTATATTAAGTATTACTATTTTACAGGGTGTCTCATTATCATCGTTTTTAATGCAGCTTATTAAGATAACAAGATAGAAATCAAAATTATCTAGTTAAATATAATAAGATTAAATAATAACACTTTTTAAAATAGTTTGATTTTTGTTAAAAAGTTAATACTTACACATTGCATTTTAGTGGAGCTGAGGATCCTTGGATGAGGAGCGAGATAGGTACAGCAGGACACTATCTAGAACGGCCACCTAGAGCAGGAATGTTTTCCTATAAAAAACAGAATGTGTCCTACCGATCCAAAAGGTCAACGAGTGTGGATACGGATATTTATATGCCTCGTCAACCCTTTGTCTTCAGATCCAGTCGATCTCTGCAAAATATAAATAATGAGCAGTAATGTTAAAAAAACTTGTTTTTATTACTAAACTATTGTCTTTCTATATTTTAATAATTCTAAAGTTAATAAATGTTACCAATTTTTTAAATATTATTTTTACTATAGATAGCAATAATATTATGCACAATAAATAGCAGTATAGTTTTTAACATAAGTAACTTTAACATAAATAATAATATAATAATAAGTGTTCCCTAAGAAAAATGTTACAACTTCGATGATATTTGACTTATTTTTCCGTGCGTAGTGGGTAATCCTTACCAAGAAGTAAATCTGAAAAGAGGATATAAAAAATCCGTTTAATAGAAATAACATTTTTCCAATCCCATGTGACGCTTATCCGATTTATGAAATAAAAAAAATGCTGTCAATATAAACAATTTATTATCTCTTGTTTTGCAGAAATAAACTTAAATTATTGATTTTTGAAAATATACTAAATCAGTTTTAAATATCGGCTAGGCGTATGTAGTGTCTGCATCTCGGTAGGTGTTCTAAGTTAAACACTAGTTCACCACAATACACCAAAACACTTTGAACACTGAACACGAAATGCTTGATGCTTACAAGTAATTCACAAAAATCCAAACACTAGTACCATATCCATATAGATTATACAGGGTTAAATTTTGAGAACCACTGGATCTTTTCTGGGTTGTCTTTCTTGTAAATTTAATATTTTATCTTGTTTTTTTAACAAAAATTAAAAAAATTTCGAAACATTTTTTCAAAAAATTCCGAATTTTCAATTTTTTTTTCGCGAAAAAGCATATAGAGGTGTTTCTGGGGTCGAAATATACTACCCCTAAAAATATTTGCACTTATTTAAGACTCACCCTTTATATAGATATTTTATTCAATTATTATTTTATTAATTAAACAAAAGTATAATACTATAAATCTAAATAAAGTCCATAAACTAACTTCGATGTTGAAAACAGCTACTAACTGTTACTAGCAAATTGCCATGGCAATACCTTAGTTGTCTTTTTATTTAAAATAGCTTTTTATTCAAAATCTGAGCTAGATAGGTATAGGAAACGGTATTGTAGTTTGAAAGAACAAACTTAAATCTGTTAAGATTTATTTTAAAAATACATAAGAACATTTTTATTTTTAATTTAATATTTAAAATTGAACAGCAATAATTTTTGGCACCCCTGTATACATTTAAGGGAGTAATCAAATTTTTCAGTAAATTTTGGTTTAAAACACAGCACACTAATTAATTCTAAAGAGTAATGTACAGGGCATCGACAATCTTTTTTATTATAGCATTATTTTTAATATATCATATTTAAATATCTCAAAACCAAAGCTAAACAAATTTGACTCTTATAAGATTTTTTAGGCCCAAGAGCTTTTTAGGCCCAAGTATTTTTTTAGGCCGAAAAATCCAAAAATTAAATAAAAAACCGAGTATAAAATATTGGTATGAATCTTAGTTCTGAAACACCCTGTACATTCCAAAATTTTAAATTGTGCACATGGCCTTGATAAAATATTTTAGTTCTACATCTTTCTGTTTTCGTATAATCCTTGTTTATATATCCATAATCAAGGGTATAATCAACCGAGGCGAATGAGGTGCGCCACCCTGTATTATTTAAAATATCAAGAGACTAATGATATTTCTATTCAATGATTTGTCATGTTGTTACCTATCATTTCTTCCAATAAAAATCTTGTAAAAGTTTGAAAACTGGTACAAAACGCTCAAAATTCGCTTCATTTTCTTCGGCATCGTGTAAATTCATATCAACACCGGTATTTAAAAATAACCCAAAATAATCAATGTTCACGCACTTCGCTCTCAGTCAAATCTGTGCAATTCTATTGGTCCATCTAATTCGGTCCTTAGGGATAGAGGCGGGATTAACAGAACTCCACCCACAAACACACCACTACGTGATGCCATCAATTAAGCAAATTAGTGAAGATTGGGGTAAAGTGAAGTGCTTAGAGGGAATACATAAAAAAGTGAGGAATTATATTAGATATTGATAGTGAGGTAAGGTTGTGAGTTTATTAAGAGTGAAAAAATGCCAAGGAAACGAAGATCAGTGAGTAGTGAGGATTCGGATGATGAGTTTGATGAAATGAGGCATCCTCAGAGGAACGCTGCTAATGCTAGAGAGAGAGCTAGAATGAGGGTGCTGAGCAAAGCTTTTTGCAGGTAAACAAATATAAAAAGCTTTTATTAAAAAAAGTGTTGAGGATATTTCTTAACACTTGTAGGTTTTTAAAAAGCAAAAGCCATTTGATTTTCGGATTATTTTTATTAATAGACTGCTTAAAAAATAAAAAAAAAATACCAGAAGTATGTGCTTACTAAAATAATATAAAAATAAAGTCAAAATAATTCAAACGGTAAATGAATTCACAAACAATGACTGAATTGCCGAGAAAAAATACAGTTTAAACATTATATATCTTTCTGCAATTATTAATAAAATTCATCAACAATCTCTTACACAATGCATTTAATTCAAAACCTTAGTTTTGGTTCACTAACTCTAAATAAATAGATTATGAGAAAATTTCATATTTAGTAGTACAACAATACACTTATTAGCAAAATAAAACACAATTTAACATTGGTCTTGATTAGCATCAGCATCATCATTCATTGATGAACATTGGTCTATTTTAGCATCAGCAGATGGTTAAAATTATTTAATTTATTTAGTTTCAATCATCTGCTGATGATTAAAAGGGTTGGCAACACTCGTCCAATGTTGAAAGTAAAGCGTTTTGATGTATTGTCGGAATTAGTACCATACGATCGAAAAATCACGGCTTCAAAGACGGCTGGGGAATGACAATAAATGATAATTTTTGCGAGGTCAAGCTCTGATGTCATTTATTTGATCGTCCACTTATTTATTTTTTAATGGCGCCTTCTACCAGTTGGCGTATAAGTAAGTTGTATCTAAGTTGTACCTAAGTTGGCCTTAAGAAAGTTGTACCTAATTTATTTTTGTAGAGAGTAAAAATAATGATTTTTAAATGGCGAAATCGTAGTTCTATATTTTTTGATATTTTTAATAATGGGTTAATTTTCGACGAAGTTTTCATTTTTTGAAGATTTACGTCAACTTTTATTAACTGACGTCTAGGAATTAACTGATAACAAAATGATCATCGATTGTCAATCTTTAGCCGTCTTTGACGCCATTTAATTTTGCTATTGTAACACCAGATGTTCCAACCACGAAATATAACATTAAAATCATTATATTTTATGCCTACATGTTTTGCTCAGGATATTATCTATTTGAGATAACATTTATCTAGGAAATAATGAAATAATAATTTTTGAGCAATCACGAAATATCTTGTTTCTTGATAATTATTCCGCCAAATGCAACACGATTTCAAGATTAAATAATCAAGGCACAAAAATGATTTTAGAAAATTCAATAAAAAGTTGTTTAGATTTGAATGATATAATATTTTTATAAACTAAATTTTTAATTTTTTTGGTGTATCATTTTAGCACAAATCAAACACAATACCAAAACAATTTTTATACTAAATACTCTAATACATTTTAAGCCAACGCTTTAATTTCAACACCACCTGCAGATGAATAAGGAAATATATTTGTAAGCATTTTTCATAATTTTTAAAGTATAATGACTTATTTAATTTTTTTTAAACTATTCTTTTAATATAAATTCATAGCTGCGATTAGTGATATATGTATAATATATTCAATAATAAATACAATAAAATAATTTCAGATTAAAAACTACCTTACCTTGGGTACCGGCTGACACCAAACTTTCCAAACTTGATACATTGCGACTGGCCACGAGTTACATTGCTCATTTAAGAGCCGTATTAATGGACCAACCACCACCAAATGACCATCTACATAAGCATCCTCTCACACTCGTAAGTAAACTTAAAAGTAGTATTAAAACTGCAAAACGTATCGCAATGGAACATTGGACCATACTGATTCGGCCATATCATCTCTTTGAAAGACAATAACCCATAGTGTCAATGAGGTAAATAAAGGCAAAATTTGGGCTCGAAAAAATATCGATTATCATAATTATCAATATTTTTTTTTTTTGAAAAATAATTTATTTAAAACATCATTTTTTACAAAATTTAACAGTCCACTTATAATATGTACTACCTATGTTTCCATATTATGAAGAAATATGTTTCTTTAACTAAAAATTTAAAAAGTTTCAATTTTATTTTCAAAAAATTGCAAACCTAATTTTTTTTGGCGGAAAAAAAACACAGTGGCGTGTTTCTGGGGTCGAAATATATCAACCCTAAAAATAGTTGCACTTATTTAAGACTCACCCTGGATAAGTGTCAGCAAATCAGAAATAGCATGGCAACACAACATATTTCTTTTTATAAAAACTAGCTGACTCGGCAAACGTTGTTTTGCCATATAAATATATATTTTATCTACAACCGTTTAGTTATAACGCTTTTATATCACTATTTTTTTAGTTTTTTTCAGTTACGTTATGAGATTCATAACACAACTAGTGGTGTTATGAATCTATAACACAACTAGTTTTTATAATAATGACAATTCCCCACAATTATAATTAAAAAAAATGTGACAAATATCATGTTAAAGGTGTTAAAGGTGGGCGACTAATAAACGAAAATTAAAACAGTATTTTCTTATTTTTCGGTTGTAGATAAAACGTTGTACATGACACGTGCGTTTAAACATGATTACAGCACACGTGTGATTAGAACGACTCGGTCTACGACCCTGATTTAATCAGGAAACCTTAACAACAAATTAATAGAGGGAAAAATTGACCAAAAGGTAAGGCGCAAAAAATTTCCCCTTCTCACAATTCCACCCGGTTAGGTTAGCTCCTCTCGTCCAGTCCGACCCTGTTTGTAGGTACATATTATAAATAGTTCAGGAATCGAGTCTCGCAGTTAAAAAAGTTTTTTTCATTCTTAGGTGTTAATTATTCCTGCTCCTTATCTAAACTTACTCTTTGATTCGTCTAAGAGAGCTGTCGTAAAACCTGAAGAGCGTTTCCTGGTGAATCGAGTGCGCCGCGACCGTGAAGAGGATGCTCTTGCCTATCAAAACAAAGCTCGAATATCAACAGTGTCGCCGAGGACCTTTCCATCCACTTTATTCCCTGCTCGCGTGGTAATAATTAGGATTCCGGCAAATGCGTCCAGCTGTTCCAGGCGGCCGGCGCGCGGAGGCATTTATAGCCGATTTGCGGTGTTTACACGATATTTAAATAAACGTCGAAGACGAACGGGCTTTGTTCTCGTCTTTATTCCCCTTTTTTCTCGTTTTTCGTTCGTAAACAACGAGGAATTAAAATATAGCAGCGCTAAGAACGTTAGAAGTTTGATTTTTTTTTGGTTTTGGTCAAAATCAGCAGTTAATCCCAGGAAGTCCAATATCGTCGTTGTTAATAAAGATATGAAAAAAAATCATATAAATATTGCATGGTTAATAAGGGGCATAACCTAAAAGTATTTTGTTTTATATACAGGGTGTATAAAATAAGTAATAATAATTAAATTGCAGCTTCCGCTTTTCTTTGTAGAATCAGATTAAGCATAAAATTCTGCATATACCGGGTGCGTCTCGAAAGTGATATCTTTTTTATTTGATCAAATAAAAAACGAGATTTGGTATGCTAGTATATTATGACATAAATTAGGATTGATTGGCGTATTCAATTGTTTTTGGTCACTTCCTATTTCACCGAAAATGACTACAATTTTTGATTTTTAAATGGCACCCTCGGTATTTTTTTACTTTATTTGATAGAAAATGACATTCTGAATAGAATGTCATATCATATGTCAACTTTTGACATTCTCGCTTAATAAAAAAATGTATTTTAAATTTCAATATAGAGTGTCATGGCTATATTAAAAACACTGAGAAAAACACTAATTTTTAATCAAGAAGCCTTGGAAAAATAGATTTAATCGTCTAATGTTTTAGTGTCTTGTCCTGACCAGTTAAAAGATGCCTAAATCGTATTTTTAATCATATCTCGTTTTTTTCAAATGGGGCGAGGGTGGCTCATTAGCATATTTGGAAAAAGCATTTTTTTACGAATAATTTGGTACCACACACTTGTTATTTCGACTCAAATTGTCGTTATGAACTACATGTTACAATTTCAAATAAACCCTATTCGAAAAAGTTAAAAGTTGACATATGATATTCATATATCAATATAATATATATTGTCATTTTCTATCGAATAAAGCAAAAAAAATACCGAGGTTGCTATTTAAAAATCAAAAGTCGTAGTTTTTCCGCAGCATTTCCGGTGAAACAGGAAGTGACCGAAAACAATAATTGAATACGTCAATCAATCCTATATAAATCCGGTATAATAATCCGGTATACCGGGTGCGTCTCGAAAGTGGCTCACTCCTATATCTTTTTTATTTGATCAAATAAATAAAAACGAGATTTGGTATGTTAGTATATGATATAAATTAGGATTGATTGACGTATTCAATTGTTTTTGGTCACTTCCTGTTTAACCGAAAGTTACTACAACTTTTGATTAAAATATAGTTAATCAAAAGTTGTAGTAACTTTGCTAATAAAAAAGGTTTTGGGGATAACCTCAGAATATTACCGTAATTTTTTTCTGTTTTATTTCTACACGGAAAATAGTATTTATAAAGAAAAAACTAAAACATTGCACTACAGATTGTACCACAGATTGTTGATTTTCAGATAAACAAACGAGATTTGGTGTGTTAGTATATGACATAAATTAGAATTGATTGACGTATTCAATTGTTTTCGGTCACTTCTTATTTCACCGGAAATGACTGCAACCTTTGATTTTTAAATGGGACCCTCGATATATTTTTACTTTATTTCAACAGAAAATGATACTTTGAATAGAATGACATATCATTCGCCTCATGCATCATACATGTCGACTTTTGACATTTTCGCTTAAAAAAAGTCGTAATTTAAATTTCAATCTAGAGTGCCATGGCTGTGTTAAAATTACTCATTTTATATAGAATAAGTTGGTATCACACACTTGGTATTTTGAGTCAAATGGTCGTTATGAACCGCATGTTAAAATTTCAAATAAACCATATGCGAAAATGTCACAAGTTGACATGTGATATGTCATTCTATTCAGAGTCTCATTTTCTATCGAATAAAGAAAAAAAAAATACCGAGGGTGCCATTTAAAAATCAAAAATTGTAGTTATTTCCGATGAGACAGGAAGTGACCAAAAACCGTTGAATACGTCAATCAATCCTAATTTATGTCATATAATAACATATCAATCCTCGTTTTTTTTTATTTGAAAAAATTAAAAAATTTATAAGAGCCAGCCACTTTTTGCACACAAAAACATGAAAAAAAAATACGAGACCGCAAGAGATGCTTGGTTAGGTCTTGCTCACCACTATTAGCGGCGGATTGGGAATCTACAGACATAAATATATAATATATCAGTGGCTAATGGTTCATCGTTCATCACTTGAACATCAGATTCAATAATGAAAAAATACTTTTTTTAAGTTGTATATTTTCTTCCTTAATCAACAGTCAAAAATTAAATTAATTTTTACTAAATTTTTACCAATACAAATAAATCAACACCAGTACAATCTACATAAATAAAATAACGATTAATAGTCTTATTTATTAGCTTTTTTTTCAGCTTATTTTGACTGTTCCAAGTTGTTTTACAGTAACTATATATTTAGAGACTATGCAGAAAAAAATGTATAACTTTTTCTATATAACTTTCGGAGAGTAATTTTCACATAGGCCGCATTCTTCGAATCACTTTATATCTATCTTTTATAAAAAACATTGTTTTTTTCCAAATTTCGTGGTGTACTTTATTTTTGATTTCCGCCTTCACTTTGTCAACCTCAAAGTGAAGCGAATAATCTGAAAGTGTCTGGCCCGACTTTTAACACTTGTCATTCCCGATGACAAATTAATGGACCAAATGTTTTGTTTCGCGATCAGCACCTTATGGTCCAATGTTTACTTTATTTATTGGCGCGAGCCATTTGACAGATAACTATCAACTTGTCCACTTGGGTGTATTGTTTCGTGTTTGTCTTAAAACCTGAATTAAAAATAAAATATTATATTAATTTAAGCGAAGATAAAAAACATACAAGTTTAATTTATGCAACACTTCGCATTAATTTAAATAACATTTTTAAACACACAATTATTTGCTAATATTAAAAAATAGAGAGTCCTCGAACGAGCTAGGGAAGATTTAGATAGCTATCATTCAAAAAATAACAGAAAATTCTATTTTCCTATGACTGAAAATGACAAATATCTGTCACTGTTATGTATTCTCTCAGAGAGGCTTTATTTTATTTTGAACATAGATTCTTTCAGAACTTAAAGCTTCATTCGGAAGTTCGAAATTAGTGGAATGGTGTTTCTCTAATTTCAATATAATCATTGAAAACGTCTAAATTAGTGGTATAGTAAACGCCACGATTGTTTGGGAGTGATTCGTCGGTCGCTACCATGTGAACTAATCTGTTCAAGTTCACATAAAACTTAATTCCAGTACCGTGGTGTTTCAAGTCATATAATAATCAATATATAATCTGTTGTAATTTGTTGTTTTAACTATCAAAGTCTTGTCAATACATATATTTGGTTATAAATATAAACTGGAATGCCCCATTGGTCGCACTGCAAGCACACCAATGGACTGACGCACAAAAACGAATCAATCAAAGAAACGCGATATGTATCGTCAATCACGCTAACATTTTAGAATAAGTAGGAGGTGCGCAGGCAGATGATTAGACCGGGCCTTTAAAAACCTACGTCTGCGGTAAAAATCTTACTCCAAGGTAAAAATTTACGTTTTTAATGTAAAAATGATAGCGCGCG